GTGTTGCCAAAACCAATTTAGCAAATATTTATAGAACAAAAAACAGAGCATGTAAACGTATTAGCCGAGTCTTGTTTAAAACAGGGCCTTTGAATGGTTGTATCTGTGGCTTAGGACCGAGTTGCGAGCCTTTTAATTTTCAAACATACATTTTATGTTGACTGAAGCAAAGATTAATCTAAGCTTTGGTGGCACTCCGGAAAGGAGAATCTGCTGAGAGCACTAAGGGCAATAGAACAAGCTCATTTTTTATTTTCTGTTTTTCTTTAAATATTTTCTTGAATGAAACATTCATCAGTGTTTTTCCTGGGGTCTTGTTACAACTCATGGACTTTTGTTAATGATTCAGAATAGAGTAATGGTGCTCTGGATTGTGTTGAAATGAAAATCGCAAATGATCCCAAGGACCCATGGAGAGGTGGTTTCATTTCTACTCCCCATTTAAATCATACATTTTAGCATGTTTAATTTGATTTAATATGCTAGTAGCAATAAGCATTTCTTGATATGCCTAGTGACCTTCGGTTGAGAGCTTATCACTCCTTTAATTGGATTTTTTACAAAATCTTACAATAACTTTTAATATCTACATTATGCTAAAGAGTAACAAGAGATTTGATGTTTTTGACAGGCACTCAATATTTTACGTGGCCAAAAGTCTGACTCCCTCTATGGCTCTATCATGTTTTCAACCCAACAGAATACGGACCACAAACAAGCCAAAGGGTAAAATCCTTTTATCTGTCAGCTTTCTTCAGAACCTGAGACCTTATTTGAAACAAGTTCTGAGAGTCCATGACCTCCATTGTTGTAGCCGTCCAAGCTTAGCAGGTACTAAAGTTTTGATTTTTATTTCTCTGTTCGTGTGATTTAACAAAACCCATGAATCTTACACTTGATCATTCCTTAGGCCCAAGAGAGCTCTCTTACAACTATTTGGACATTGCTTTCTCTCCTTTTGATGATTACTGGAAAGAAGTACGAAAACTTGCTCTTCAAGAACTCTTCAGTACTAAACAAGTTCACTCGATTCAACCCATCAAGGACGAGGAGATCAGTTTTAAACTGATCGATTCAATCGCAAAATCAGCTTCTCTGAAAACTCCGGTTAACTTGAACAAGACGTTTCTTGCTTTAACTGTAAGTGTGATATGCAGGGCTGCATTTGGTGTGAGTTTCCATGGAACGGTGCTCCACAGTGACAGGTTCAATAAGTTAGTTCGTGAGGCACTCGAGATGTTAGGAAGCTTCTCTGCCTCAGATTTTATTCCGTATATCGGTTGGATCATCGACTGGTTCACGGGTTTACAAGCACGGAGAGAGAGAAGCGTAAACCCGTGAAGTTGGAGAAAGAAGAAGTTGTTCTTGGAAACGACAAGCTCGCAAGAAACCATATCAAAGCAATCTTGATGGTAACTAACCAAAGATTTTGGCAATTCTTGTAACTAAACCTGAGATTCTAACATGTTTTTATGATCTTGTCGCAGAACATTTGGTGGTGGTTGGAGAATGTGTCATTTTACATTGGAACAACAATGGTGGAAATTGGTCTTGCGAATATGTTGTACCATTTTGACTGGAAGCTACCAGAAGGTATGGCGGTCGAAGATATCGGTATAGAAGAAACTCTTGGGCTCACTGTCAACAAGAAAAACGAGCTTCTACTTGTGCCGGAGAAGTGTTTAGATCACTTATCAGTTAAAATAAGTTCTTCATGAGATTAGTGTTGAGAATTGAGTCCATAATTAAATCTTGTAATATCATATATGTTATAGTTTGTATATATGTAAAGTCAACTCATGCACATGACTTACTACGAAAGGGTGTGTTAGAGACGTAACTTGTTGGATAAGTTACAACTGTTACCAACGGTTACGTAGAATTACATTTATGTAAAGTCCTATATAAATGTGTACAATGTCTTAATGTAACATTGTCGAGAATAAAAGAAGTTTTCGAGATTTTACTCTTTTCTTTTATTCTCTTCCAACAATTAGGGAATAAAGTGTAGCAATCTGATGTTCCTCTGCTTCGTCCTTTTATCTGTCAGCTTTCTTCAGAACCTGAGACCTTATTCGCTTTCATGCAGATTGCTTCCTTAATTCTTGCTGTTTTTATCTCATGTAGAAGAAAGACGGTGTTCTCATTTGAGGTCAGTTTACATGCATATATTTACACAAGTAAATATGTTGGGGTAATATATGAATTTTATAATATTAATTGTATTAGGATTAACATTAGAACACTAATTTACTTTGTTGTTTTTTGTAATTATAGGTAGTAAATATAGAGGGGTTCTGAAAACAATAAAAATTATGAAATTGTGTTTTTTTTTTAAAGTAAAGTTTATTTTCTTAAAATTG